AAGGCGCCGGCATGATCCGTACACACTCATGGAGTTTATGTCTTGAGATTCTGGGATATGTTTTTGTTATGATAATTTTGGATACATTATGTTTGACATTATCTTATGAATAAAAGTATGTTTTAAAAATGAAAAATTGTTTTGGAAATTTACGTTGTTACATTTATTATAGGTTTAATGTATTGAGTTTTTTTCCTGCATTTTAAGCAAACAAAATTCGCTTTTTAATTTTTTTTACTAATTTTAGTGAGAAAAATTCAATTGGTAAACAGTCCCGTTGGAAATCTGTTGGTAAAATTGTAAAACGAGGTCATATTGTGTTCCGTCCGCAATGTGTCGGGTAAAGTTTACCCACGAACAAAATGTGACGCCGGAAATCCGTTGGTAAAGGCCATTCAACGGATTCTTTTGTCGGGACATCATGATTTTCTAGTAGTCATTTCTTACATCACTTTTCATGGATGAAGGTTTAGAATTGCTACGTATACCAACGAATAAGCGTATTAGTGTAAAAAACCATATTCCTTTGCCATGAATTTGACGTTAATATATATGCACCGAAATACACACAATTAGTATGTTTGATCTGCTAAATATAACGGGAGCTTAAGTTATTAATAATTATATCGTTCTCATACAAATGAAACATATTTTTTTCAGGCTAACATTCATTGCATTATGGGATTTAGTTGTCGTGATTGAAAGAATTACTCACAAAACCATGATTAAAAGTTGCCATGATAAACGAGACAGAAAATCTAAAAGTAACATCAAACACAATATAAACTCAACCGGTATATTTTATTTCATAACACCTATAGATCAAATATATATGTTACATGCATTTATTTAGAACCATGTAAAATTACGTAAAGATAAACGGTGCAACCCTTACATATCACTCGGTGTGTTACATTCACCCAGAAACTAGCTCCAACTTCTTCATGGTTATTTTGTTAGCTAACCGATGATCTTGGAGATAAAAAAAACGAAGGCACACGATAAAAACTTACAATAAAGTCCTACGGATATTGATCGGAATCATATGCATACCGGTTGTTACTAAGATTGCTTTAGTAGTTCCACAGATTTCCTCCACCGGAATAATATGTTCCATCGTCTGGCGGATTAGAATCGATCCTCGGTGGACTAAGGAGCATTCCCTCCGCCATGTCTGACAACAAATTTGGCATGCCAAACATTGCTTCATCGTCCACATACACACCAGGTCCAGGAGGAGGAGGTGGAGCTGTATCTGTACCACCCACCGTCCTGCTTCCGCTACCATACTCATACGCCGGTGATCGAGCGGCAGCTGCTCTTGCTGCTGCAGCACGGATGTCATCAGCGGTAGGACACTCGGGAAGTGTATTTTCGAGAAAAGAGTCTGGAAAGTTTAGGACTGCGTACTTACCTTTGATTGCCAATGCAGCCACATCGTAAGCAGCAGCAGCCATCTCTGGTGTCGGATACGAACCAAGCCATATGCGACTGGACTTGTTTTCACGAATTTCAGAAACCCATTTCCCAGCTCGCAATCGGATTCCATGGTAAACTGGGGAGGAGCCACTTGAAGCGGTGGATTGAGAAGCTGTATCATTTTGGGGAAGCTGAAAAGCAGAGGAATTGCGGCGCCGGTTAGCCATGCAATCTTATGGGTGGATGTTTGGGTAGTTATAGACAAATGGATTCTGTTGGTGGTCCATCGTTATGTCTCTTGTGGGGCGCCGTGGGTCCTTGTTAACTTAAAACATTGAGGAGCGTGGCTAGTTCGCGGATGCTCTTTTATAGAAAAGACGAAACTTTCCGGAAAAAGAAAGTTACCAAAAAATTATAGAACAGACCCTTTATTTATCTAAGTAGTACAAGAAGACACCCTTCAATGAAAAAAGGCTGCTTAATCATTGGATGAAAAAACAAAAACATAGAATGGAGACGGATCAATCATAAGAAAATCACATTGGAGCCGAAGTTGATGGATTATCCAAAAATAATTGATGGAAATAAAACCATATATACCTCTAGTTCTGAAACAATGATGAACTTAAAGTTCTTAATGGTAGTACATTAATCAAAAGTGGGAACTAATTGGTGATAATGATAAGGCCAAATTCTAATAGTGCTTCGGTTTTGCACTTTTGCTTTATTTTTGCTATTAGATTTTTCTTTTCAGGTTAATCATATTTTTGTATATATAAATAAACTCTAAATTCTCTAAAAACCACTATATTCTATAACTTACTCATTGGGCTCAGTGAAAACTACTTTTATAACTTTACCATTAAAACTTTCATTTTTCTTTTTTAAAACTTATCTCCGTTCTTAATAAAAGACTTTTTTTTGTCAATGTGTCTTCCTTTTAGACCTATGTTATGCCACATGACACTTTCTCCAACATTTTACTAAAATTTTCACGGTCAATTGTTGTTTAAGGTAATCTATCATATTCCTTAATATCAGCAATTCAATTTTAAATATTTTATCTGATACCAAAAATACCTTTAATAAACATAATTGAAACGTATGTCCTAGCTATAATTCAGCCACAGATTTTGAGAGTTGATTATCAACCCAATTTTGTTACTATTTTTTTTATCATGAATCCTCCTTACAAGAGAAACGATATGTGGTCACCCTTCTTCTCTTCTAAATCACTCTTATTCTAAATTTTCTTTGTTATTTTGAATTTTCTAGGGTTTTTAATCGAACCCTAATCCTCACTGCGAATAACATCAAATTTACGACATCATTATTGATATTGGGTTAAAGATTTGGATGGACTTTGCTGGAAAGGGAGGTACTTTGTTTTTTTTTTTAATCCTTGAGTAAATTGGATTTGATGAAGAACACCCAAGACATCCCAACTTTGAAGTCTCATTTTCGGTTTTTCATGAATTCCAAACCCAAAACATCCCAACTTTATTTCTGTCTTTTTGATTTAGGAAGGGTATAATTTGTAAATTTACCATTCGTGTAATATTTTTATAGAGACTATTCGCGTAATTTACTAAAGGGGCCATAAACAAATCCTACCTATTAATTACACATATTAGCAACTTACTTTCAAAGTATCATGTATTTTTTGTATTTTAAGCTTCCTATATAGCAATGTACCACATATTTTAGCTTTTTAGTTGTTTTAGTTCCACAGACCATTCATTTAAATTTTTTTGATATGGACGATGTTTTTAAGCTTCCTTAAATATTTTAGTTATTTTAAGCTTCCTTATATAGCAATGTACTTTCATTTCGTATCATTTATAAAACAATGACCATTTACGTAGATAGACTACATTATAAAACAAGGACTATTTCAAGAAACTCCAGTAGTAAACAACATGACCATTTTGTAACTGTTATAAAATAGGGAACAATACTTGTAAATTATATACTTAAATGCAATAAATAGCAAAATACTTTAAAAATATAACGATTTTAAAAGGAAAATGGAATCTGTTTAGCAATTTAACTCTAAAAATGTTCAAAATGACAATTTTATCCGTATATCAAATAAGATAAAGAGTTAAACCATTATTGTTATTATCTTTTTTTTTCTTTTAAATAAGGCTATTTTTTCATTTTTTTTTAAACAGGACATATGTCAATGTTTTTTAGGATGTTTATGTTATTATATGTGTTTATGTTCATGTTTTCGTGTGTGTATGTTATTGTGGTTTGGGGGGTGATCTTATTACTTATTGCTACTTCTGATAATAGTGACTTACTTATTTTCTTTCTTTTTGAATTTAGGAAGGGTATAATCGGTAACCTGCCCATTTACTATACGCAAATTTTATATTGCATCATACAAATTTGTGATTTTATCAAATATCTAAATATACAACATGTAAATTGGATATTCATAATAGTGTATGTATTTATTTTAAAACAAAATTATAAGTAAATTGGATATTTATAACATTGTATATATTATTTTAAAAACAAAATTATAAACTTACTGGCAAAGTTTTTATCTTTATAAATTAATAATTTTTTTTATATATTTGATTAGCCACTATGAATAGTGTTAATCTTTCACAACCGTAATTTTTATGGGTTTAAATTAACAATTTTATAGTTACGGACAACACATTTAAGCTTCTAAAAAAGACATGTTTGCAAAAAAAAATCCTTTGATTAATTTTTGCAATTTAATACCGAAGAAAACACAAACAAGTTAAATAAGAAAGTTAAAAATTATAAATTACACAAAAAATAAATTATTAAACTGCAATGGTATATATAGAAATTGGTCTAACAATAAGTTAGTAATACTTAAGACTTGCTGCATCAAGAATTTTGATTTTAGACTGTGTATTTAACTTGCCTTCACTATCAAAAACCAATTGATAGAATACAATATAAGCAGTTTAATTCTTGGCTTGCTAATTGGCTTCCAACTTTGACAAAATTAACCCATATTTTTTTTTTCCTTTTTTTTTGGAATCCATATTTTGACTGGTATATATTTAGCGTTTACAATTAAAAATTAAAAAAAAAATGAAGTTGTATACAGCTATCATTTTGAACAAACCAAATTTATTGTTACCAAAACAATTTGGTACCATATTTTTAGTAAGGTACTAATAACAAAGTTTATATACCAATTAAAATTGGTACAATAACTGTTTGAAAAAAAATACGATACTTTGAGTGTGATTGGCTAAGCTTATTAAAACAACTTATTAGTTTATTAATGGTTTCACACCACTATAAATTAAAAAAGTGTTTGGATGAAAAATAACTTATTCCGGTAGGTAACCTCTAATAAGTCATTTTTTTATAAGTTACCTCATACTTACTTATTAACTTACAAGCTAATAAGCAATAAGCATTTTTACAAAACACCCCCTTTATCATGTTCACATCTACTTCCAAAAGTAAATTTTGCTTTCCTTCAACTTTTGACATATATCTCAAATGAAAGGGGGAATGTGATAGCTTTCTCTAATTTGAGGGATTAAAATAAAATATAACTCTAAAATAAAGTAGGATTACAATATAGTAATGTTCGAAAAGCACACATGGCTCAAATCCACCCGTTTGTCACATGGGTCACATGGCTCAAATCCACCCGTTTGTCACGCGTTCTACAAACATTTATTTCATAATTGTCACGTGTCTTTCTTGAAGAGTGCCTTTATTTTTATAGTAAGGGCTATAAAATGATATAAAAGTTATTTTAAATTTTTTTTAAACATTGTTGCTTTTAACTTTCGAAGTTTTTTGGGTTAATAAAAAGGGAAAATGACTTACAAGTCCAACAACGTTTTCAAACTGTTCAAAAAACATCAATCATGTTTTGTCTGTTCAAAAAAACCCAACGAACTTAACCTTTTGTCTAAAATAGTCCAACGAAAATTTCAAACCATTCAAAAAACTCCAATCATGTTTTGTTTGTTCAAAAGATTAAGTTTGTTGGGTTTTGTTGAACAGACAAAACATGATTGAGGTTTTTTGAACGGTTTGGAAACTTCGTTGGTCTGAAAAGTCAATTTCCCGATATGGTAATAAGCAACGTCATCTGTTTCTCTTCTTTGACTTCCATATAATTGAACAAAAGTGTAACTTAGTTGGGCTTCTTTAGACAAAAGGTTAAGTTCGTTGAGTTTTCTTGAAAAAACAAAATATGATTGAGGTTTTTTGAACGGTTTGAAAATTTTGTTGGGTTGGTAAATCATTTTCCCTTAATAAAACCTCAGGCTTGTAAGAATTTTGTTATTTATGGTTTTTATCAGGTCAAGCAGGTAACCTTGCCAGATGATGCCACATGGCTGCACATCAGTACTGACTATCTCTTTTTTGCTGACATCACAGTAGGCACCAAATTGGGTATCTTTAATTTCTTTCTTTGAGAGCCAAAGACAAAAGATGAAAAGCCCTAAATCATTACCTAAATGGTCATCGTGAATTCATCGCCTCCATGGTGGATGAAGCCAACACGGCTGTGGGAGATGAGTTCAAACGGGGGATAGGTAAAGGGTCAAACAACGAAACACAACGTGCTCTATTCATCTCCTTCTCAACAATCATCAATCGATGATAGACGATAAATAGGGGATGTCCACCTAGAACTCAAAGCCTGTAAAACTAAAAGCTTTGAGTGCCTTTTTCAGTTTTTCCTTCAAGATCATCATCTTTCGGGCTAACTGAACCCCGATTCGACCACTCATGTCCACAAGACGTTGATGGGGAGAAACAATTGTCTTCTTGTTAACCTCGCAAAATCTCGCCCTTTTGAAATTGATAAAAAAAAAGACAAGACTACGAATAGGGCTTTCCCCCCTGCGTGTGTGTATATGTGTTCTTATTTTCCCGACTTTGTTCTAAAAACGATATTAGTATTGCTCAAGACCTGTTCAATCAAATTCCAAAGAGAGATATTGTTCCAAATGTTAAGTCTTACAAGATTAAGATGTATAGATTGTGTAGAAAGAGTTCGATGTGGGATGTTTTTGGAAAACATGATAAACATAACAGGTGATGGAGAAAAACGATAAATATGTGGTGATAGGCTGCTCTGTGAGTCTATATATGCAGGTTTAAAGCAAGAAGAAAACTCTCAATTTGCAGAAGGTGATGGAGACATAGATAGTGTTCAAGAAGAAAACACCTTCTATTTACAGGTGAAGGTGATGGAGATGGG